ACATTTTGTAGTACCTTTCTTGTGGAGGCTTTGAAACTTGTCTTATAATGACCGTGTTTGCTTTCTTCTCCTGATTGTGTGATTTAGGGACTCCGATATTTTTCTTCTTGACAACTTCTCCTTGATTGTTAACGCTTCAATTGGTAATTTGTGTTGGGTATTGAAATTTCATTGCAAAACACTGATTCTCCCTCATTTTGATTTTTGCAATTGTTTTATTGTTCTTGTTGTAAATGGTACATGATTCTCCCCTGAAATGCAAGTTGTAGCCTTTCTTCAACATTTCTCCGACACTTAGTAGATTTTGATCAATTGCTGGAACTAAGAGGACATCTTTGATGTATTTTGTCCCTTTTCTTGTGTCAATGACGATAGTTCTTTTGCCCATTGTTTCTACGTTGTTGCCATTTCCAATCTTGACTTTTGAACAGTATTTTTCAATATTGCAAAAAAGACTTTCATCAAAAGTCATGTGATTGCTGCAGCCGCTGTCCAAGTACCAAATACTTCTTTTGTCTCCTGTTGTACTGTTGGAAGCAAAGAATAGCAATTCTTCTGTCTCTGTCTCTTCTGAAAAATTGGCGCGTTGACTTTGTCTTCTGCCCCAACAGTTTTCCTCGACGTGGCCATACTTTTGACAATTTTTGCATTGATTTTTCTCTTAAAACCAACATTCTTCTTCTTTGTGATTATTTTTATTGCAAATTCCACATGGTGTATCATACCATACTTTCTTTTTGTTATTTTCTATTTTGTTATTGTTATTTTCTCTAGATTTTCTCCCCCCAATTTTAGAATTCTGAGACCGTAAATTTAGTTTTGACTGAAATGCATTTTCTACTGTGTCATTTTCACGCATACTCAATCTTTTCTCATAAGCTTCAAGTTAACCTATTAATTCAGTCACTGACAATTTATCCAAATCTTTAGTTTCTTCTGTCGTCGTGACGATATGATCATATTTAGCTGGTAGAGTAATTAGAATTTTTTCTACCACCCTTTTGTCAGTGATATTTTCTCCATATGCTTTTAGTTGATTTACTACTTCTCTTAATCGAGTGTAGTAATCTTTAACGGTCTCAGATTCTTTCATTTTCATATTTTCCAAATCCCTCCTTAAGGTTTGTAATTTTATATGACGTACCTTGTCACTGCCCCTGATATTCTTCTTTTAGAGTGTCCCATGCCTCCTTTGATGTTTGTGCTCCACTGATTCTTGGAAATAGGGACTCCGTCATGGCCATTTGTAGTGTGTAGAGAGCCAAACTATCTTTTTCTTTCTCCCGATCGAATTTTTCTTTGTCCGCCATAGACAAAGTGGATATGTCCTCGGGGATAGTATACCCGTTTTCGACAATATTCCATAGGCCTTGAGACATAAAATATGTCCTCATTTTAATGGCCCAATAATTATAATTTTCGCCGGAGAAAATAAGAATTGGTATTTGATTGGTGTTTCGGAAAGTGGCCATTTTGAAGATTTAGTAGAATATGCGAAAGTAGGAGGATATGTGAAATTGGGGTATTTGGACAAGATATGTATAAATAAGGGGATATGTGATAATAATTTCGCCCAGATATTGATCAAATCGGGCTCTGATACCACTGTTGGTATCAATGTAGAGGAAGAGAATGTATGAATATAATGGAAGATAAATGTATTATTATGGAAAGAAAGGAATTCAATTACTTTATTTATTTATTTTATTTATTTGGTGTAGTGATTTGTTGAAATAGGAAGAGTGTTTTTCATTCCCAGTTCTACAATAGAATGAGGCACAACTTACACATATATATAGCACAAAAGTGAAAATTCTAGAGAATGCTAAGTCGGTGGGTTTTGCTTGAATGTATAAGAAATATCTAAATTAATGTTGTCACCATATCTTCTAGGATGTTCTCGGTGAGTCGGTGCAAATTGAGCATCAATATTTCAACACAACTTTTGTTCCAGGGAGGATAATGTTGATCACGATTCACACTTCCCCAGCCTGGATAAAAAATCCTTTACAATTTTACATTCATGATTGAAACCCGAGCTTGCTGCACCCCTGCGGGCCTAATCGTTTTTAACAAATACGTGATTCATTCTGGATAATGGCGCTAATTCTGCCTAATCCGCATAAAGAAACGGGCCCCGTGTAAATTGTAAAGCAATCCTCCAATCTCTATACATATGCGCCACAAACTTGCAATATACAATCCTAAACCTAGCTAGCTTTGAGAAATTCAATTTAATACCATAAACCGATTTTATCATTGGAAATCCCAAAGTCCTTCAAGAACAATGATAAAACAAGACACACATCAATTTTGTGTTATTATAAGCACAAATAGAAAATAACGACTTTATTTGACCGGGTCAAGGGTCATGCAGCAGGCAATTACGAAGACAAACGGGAGGAGGAAGCCCCGGGGGTGTCTGTGGCTGTATCTGTGCTGGTGGTGGAAATAATCCTGCACTCATATATATCTAATTTGTTGGTATCTTTAGTATAAGAGAACTTTCTAATTTATTTTAATTTGTTGAAAAAGAGAAAATGTATATATTGCTAATTGATACATTAAAAAAGTTAGGTAAAGGAAAATTGTAATTAATAAGAGTATTAAAATATGTAAATCCACAATCACGTACCGTTCAGTGAGTTATCATCTGTCTTCACGAGTATATTCCTTCCTATAACTGCAAACGCAACACAAAACACAATGATCAACACATAAATTGCTAAATGGAGATTTGTCTTCATTAATTATTATTATTGTTATGGATTTATAAGAATAATATTATTGTTTTGGCTAGCTGTTGAATATATACAGGGAAATTTGAAAGTTCTGATGACATTAGTTCTTTGTTTTTTATACGATTATATTTTAGCATTGACTGGTAGAAGAACAAGACTAAATTAGTTGAAATTTCCACCATAATAATTAGTTACTAATTAGTCTGTGGAAAAAACCATGTGAGGTCCCATGCAATTCTGACTTTTGCTAATGGTAAATATATAGCGTGGATTGCACGTTGGTTAATGTTGTATCTAGTAGCGTGTCGTTGTATTTTTCACTGTTTTTTTTTTTTTTTTGGAGGTTCCAGGCTTGCGCTTGACTAGTCCTCGAGGAAACAGCTCCGGCCCCTCAGACACTGCCTCCAATTAAACCGCAGTAGCCACACAATGACTCCCAACTTCATACCCTCAACTACCGCGCACAAGGAGTCGATCTCCAAGTGATCGCTCGCTGGCCCTCCCAGCTCCAAGTTAGCCCCACCTTATCCAGCCGCTGGTTCCCACCGAAGTGATCGCTCGCTGGCCCCCCAACTTCATGCTGGTCCCACCTATCCAGCCGCTGGTTCCCATCGAGTTTCAGCCTCCCACACTGCCGCTTCTAGTCCTCAGTATTAATTGTTCTACCATTGCGCTCCGCGGGCTCGAACCCTTGACCTCATGTCAATACTTTTTGGTGCTCTGATGTACAAGGAAAGGAATTGCTTGGTATCGATCGTGCCATTGAATGTTGAGTCATAGTTCGTTGGGGCGTGGGAAACCTCTCACTGTCAGTACCATTTTCAGTAGCAAACCGCTCTCACTTGTCATTTTAAATTACTAAAG